TGTTGTTAAAATATAAATTGTTGTTGAAATACTGCTTAAATATACTAAATTCCGTTAAAAATGTACGTGATAAATCACACAAAACAAAGTATTTTAAAGTATATAATTGTGGTTCAGGAATATTTGTTGTTTCTTCTATTGAAATAATATGAAAATAATGTCTTGTTTCAACATTTCAATAGAATTGCTGAAATCACAACTGTTGAATTTAAGAATTTAATGTGAAGAAAAGTTATTGAATTTATCGAAATTTTATGTGAAAATTAGAATTATTTGAAACAATAATAAATGTAAATATTTCAGTGCGAATCGTGATTTGCTATCAATATTTGAAAAAACCTTACTTTAGTTGAAATCGTCTATTTCTTCGACGATTTCAACTAAATCTTCAGTTTATTTATATACAAAATAAATAAAAAAATAAACTGTAAATGTTTCATTCATAAACTATTATATTTATTTGTGAATGAAACATTTCAATTTCAAAATCATCAATAATCAAGAAATTTATGTAAATTAAACGAAAATATGCAATACTTCGATCAGTACGAATTTACCACAGTCTTCTGATTCGAATATTTCAAGAAATTATTCGTATTCTTTCCTCTACTGTAGTTTGCAGATTATTTTATACAGTTTTAAAGTCCGCTATTGCACCGAACAAATCAAAGTAGGAAAAAGAAGGAAAGTCCTCGATTAGTGCGGTTTCAACCTATTATCCGCACTATGCAAGAAATTGCTGTACTATTATTAACATGTATTAATAACTAGTTTAAGTTGAAATCGTCAATAAAGCAATCTTCAATTTATTTACATACAAATTACATTCACAAAAACAAATATTTTCATTGAAAGTTTTCAAATAATAAAACGTTTCAAATAATTAGATCATAAAACATTAAACATTTGAATTAGATAATATTACGATTGTACAATTTTCAGCTGCAATCGGATATCAAAACTCCATTCATCCTCAATAGCGATTTAATTTACTGAATGGTTCACATGGAATAGCGTGAAATCCGAAACCGTGACGCGATTTATACATGTGTATATTTTTTATCGCTCAAGGGGTTACGTAATGCATCGTAATAAGGGTTGGGGTAGCTTCTAACGCTTCGACGAATCAAACGAAAAAAAAAAACGCGATCGCAACAAGCTTTGATTAAAACAAACAGATTGAAGCGCTCTAATTGGTCAACATCCGACAATAACTAATGACACATCATCACCGATTGGCTGCAGAACCTTCGATCCGCGCATTCAAACGAAATTCCATATTAATAAATATTTGCGGCCAGGTGAATTCCATGTGAAATATTCACGATATTAATTTATTGGATGCAATTAGCGAGCGAGCTGCACGGATTCATAACGAACTTTATTATTAATTAAAACTAATTTATTTATTACAACAACAACAAAAAAAATAAATAAATAATGACACGCATTGAAATTCGATGTATATGTTTATGTTATTAATTGATTATTTTTCAATTATTCAGTGCGGCTTCCAATTAAGTTACATTTCCGGATTAATTATTCAGTTATGATTTTTTTGCAAATGGAAATTCAATTTTTCATTTACGCTCAATAATTTCCGTTTATTATTGGAACGAGAAACAGTTAGAAAGCGGTTAGGGTCCAGAATGCCAAAATGAATTATTACTAGAAAGTTCCGAACTATTCCGAGTTTTCTAACACTAAATCATCCTTATACTAAGAATTTGAATGGAAAAAAAACGATGGCGCCAAAAACGATGCTTAACTTTTTACTAAAGTTAAACATCGAATGGGTGATTATTACAACCTGTAATAGAATGTAGACCAATTGATAATATCTTAATAATTCATTGATCTTCATGTCTATTATTGTTGAAATTACAGATAAAAAATATGTTTTTATTCAATTACAAAAGTTAAACATCGAATGGGTGACTATTACCACCTCTAGTAGAATGAAGACTAATTGATAAATTCATTCATTCTCATGTCTATTATTGTTGAAAATGATGAAATTAAAGACAACGAAATTATGTTTTTATTCAATTACAAAGTTAAACATCGAATCGGTGATTATTACCACCTCTAGTAGAATGTAGACCAATTGATAAAATCTTAATAATACATTCAGTCTCATTATTGTTGAAAATGATGAAATTAAAAAGAAAGAAATTATGTTTTTACTCAACTACAAAAGTTATACATCGAATGGGTGATTATTACTATCTCTAGTAGAATGTAGACTAATTGATAAAATCTTAATAATACATTAATCCTCATGTCTATTATTGTTTAAAATGATGAAATTAAAGAAGAACGAAATTATATTTTTAGTCAATTACAAAAGTTAAACATCGAATGGGTGATTATTACCACCTCTAGTAGAATGTATACCAATTGATATAATCTTAATAATTCATTCATTCTCATGTCTATTACTGTTGAAAATGATGAAATTAAAGAGAACAAAATATGTTTTTATTCAATTACAAAACTTAAACATCGAATGGGTGATTATTACCACCTCTAGTAGAATGTAGACAAATTGATGAAATCTTAATAATACATTCATTCTCATAAATTTATTATTGTTGAAAATGATGAAATTAAAGAGAACAAAATATGTTTTCATTCAATTACAAAAGTTAAACATCGAATGGGTGATTATTACCAACTCTAGTAGAATGTTGACTAATTGATAAAATCTTAATAATACATTCATTCTCATAAATTTATTATTGTTGAAACTGATGAAATTAATAATAACATTTTTATGTAAATTATAAATTCTATTAATTCTAATTAGAAATTAACACAATTGAATTTAAATTTAATAAGAAACTAATGTTTAATTATATTTAACTATTTTTTTAAGTGCAAACATATTTAAAACAACTTATGTAATTATTTTAAATTATGCTCCAATTAGAGCGAACGAAATGCGAGGATGTAAAAAAATCCTCGTAAATAAGTATGAACGAAATTTGCTGAAATTCATCGATTTCCGCAATCGAACAACAACAAAAAAAATGATCGTCTCGTACAACAAGTTGAAGGAACTTGGGTCAATAGCACTTTACGATTTATGTAATAATCGTAATTGTATATATATTTTATTTCTTTTTTTTTTGTGTTATTGTACAGCAACAATGGAACTTATTTTCTTCCGACTTGTGTCAAGGTTAAAATGAATGGTTCATTTTTTTTTGCTGTTGTTGTGCAAATAGATAAATTATATTTATGACTTTATTCAGTTTTAGATCATAAATTTTATTTCTCTCATTCAAAAGTATTTAATACAAATTATATGAGTCTCGTATATAATAATTTAAAGATTTTTATATACAAACATAATTATTTAATAAAAATCAGTTTCATACATTATTTCTTTACAAAACTTCAAACTTTGTACTTAAATTTATTAGTTAAATAATTAGATTTACTAATAGTTATTTTTTTTTACAAAATCTGTATTAAAAGTTTGGTAAAATCTTAATTAATGAAAATTTCGTGTATGAAATTTGCTGTTGTTGTACGATAAATTTTACGATTTTTACGTTGTACTTATACCTGTTTTTTCATCTTTTGTGTGGTTATTTTTTTGGGGATAAACAGTGGAAATGAAACAACATAATTAAATTAACTTCTCAATCTCATATATTCACATTTTCGTTCCATTGACTAATGTAAACACACTGTACATTGAAGAAAAAAAAAGACAAATAATAATAATATAATAATAATATTTATATACTGGGTTGTGGAGAATCGGGGAGGACAAACTTAAATATATAAATGTTTCCACGTCTCTTCCAATATGTACAAAGCTTCAATATTCCTCTTTCCTCTCCTTCGCTCACACTCTCTATCATTCCAATTTTTCTCTCTTTTTCCACAATCAGTGATAAAAATTCGCTCGATAATAAAAGTTTTTCCCGAAATTCTCTCTCTCCTTTCCCGGTTCCCATGGGCCAACGAAAAAAAAAAGGGAGAAGAACGGTAAGAGAAAAAAAACTCGTTTAACAATTTTTCTGCTAGGGGAAAGGGGACGCTCAGCCGCGGGAATCCTTAACAAAGAACCATAGGACCATCAGACCGCTGGGCGTCCCCTTCACCCATCTCCGTCACACGCACATTTAAAATTAGAAAAACATACGAGAAAAAAAAAATAATAATATAGGAAATAAAATATAATATATTTATACATAAGATATTTTTTGTGTTTAAACAATAAAGTTGCGAGATTTTTCCAACAATTCTCTCTCTTTTCTCTCCTTCAAATAAAATTCCATTCATATATATACATATATATATATATATATCATACTTTTTTTTTACGCATTTTGTTTTTGTTTCATAATAATAATATAATAAACAATATATAACAGTCGAGATCACGCATGGCCTTTCTTGAAAAAAGAAAAGAGAATTCCTTTATTTTCGAATATATATATATATATAATATATCACTTAATTTTTAAAGAGTAAAAAAAAATAATAAATAAATGCGTAAGAACGAAAATCAAAAAAAAAAATACATAAATCGAGGAAACAAAAAAGAGAACATCATCATCGAGGAACGAAGCTAAAATTAAATTAATTAATAACCAGTGTACAAATTTTGTCGATTTGAGAAGAACAAAATAAAAAAAAAATAATAATAATAATAAACAACACATATTTCCAATTTCAGAGCGCGCCTTGTATTTTTTTTAATTAATAATATATTACAGTGAATCGAGGGGCGCTTTGCAAATCGAGAATAGGAAATAACAAAATTTAATAAAAAAAAAAACTAATTTTGTGTCATTGAGAGCGCACGGTGTGGGCGTGTGTATTTCCAAAATCATCGAAAATATTAATTGCTTTTTATTTCAAAGATTTTGGAAATACGCGCGCGGGGAGGTCGGAGCCAAGAATATAATATAAATATACCCAAACTTTTTTTTTCTTCTCCTTATGTAAAATCAAATATAATAACTGCTCTTTTCTCGTTATTTTTTTTTTGTCTCTTTTAGTTTACTAATTATATAATACAAACGCGCTTTTCTCTTGTTCACCTTATAAATATATTATTTACACGGAAAGGTTTTTTTAATTGTAAATTTTTGTCTTGTGTTTGTGTTCTTGTGTGAAAAATTTCCGTTTCTATATATATATAATATGTCGAAGGTTGAATTTTGTAAGGAGAAAACGTCGCGGTCCCCGACATCGGCTTCAAAAGTTTCGTTTGTTTTGGGGTAGATGTCGGAGCGGTGTCGTTTTCTTCATGCAAATTTGTTTTTTCGCAAGGAAAATCATCAACGAGTGTGTGTGTATGTGTATTTGTTGTGTGAATTATGAAATACTTAAAAACACGGATTGAATGGATCGTCGTTCTTAATACTTAAGATATTACGTTTCTTTAATTTTCTTTTTTCTGTCTTGCGTTAACTTGATTTGATGATGGTTGATGTCTATTTACAACTTTCACAGAGGCGGCACGTCCAAGTCCGGAGCCGCGAAGAGCGGTTCTCACATATGCGCTAAGGGGGCCAGAGGACCGGGACCCATCGGGTCCGGCGACGCACTGTACTGTTGCATGTGCTGGGTAGCGTCTGTGGGCAGGTACATGGAGATCATTTGTCTGAGATCACCTTGGGGTTGCTGCTGGGGTTGACCGCCTGGTTGGGAGGTGGCGTATTCGCGTTTGATGCCACCGCCACCGCCGGGCGTTGGCGTGTGAAGTCCTCCGGAGCTCGGCGACACCGGCTCCGATTTGATGCTGGACCCGGACGGACTGTGCGAAGACCCCGCCTGCTGCATACCGTAAGGAGATCCGGCGGAATTTGGTACGGTTCCTCCGTACGCTCCGTAGCCGCCGTTCAAGTAAGCATTATGCTGCATTTGGCTCATGTCGTAACGCGCGTAATTCGCACCCCCGTACTGCTGCTGGTATGCGCTGGGGTCGTGCATCATGTACCCGTTGGGCATATATCCATTAGGCATCTGGTACATATCTCTTGCTGTCACTTGCTGCACGGAGGAGGCGGCCGAACGAACCGGATCCGATGACGGTAACATGCTCGATCCGAGTGGGTATTTGTCCTTCTTCAAAAGAGTCTTCGTCTTCCTCCTCGGCCTGTACTTGTAATCTGGGTGCTCCTTCATGTGCACTGCTCTCAACCTTTTAGCTTCATCGATGAACGGCCTCTTTTCGGATTCGTTCAACAGCTTCCATTCAGCTCCCAATCTCTTCGAGATCTCAGAGTTATGCATCTTCGGGTTTTCCTGGGCCATCTTCCTGCGTTGTCCCCTGGACCATACCATGAACGCGTTCATAGGTCTCTTCACCCTCTCGAGATTTTGGTTCTTGCTCGAAGAGTTGTTGTTGTTCGGTGTTGAACCGCTTCCAGGGTGCTGCTGCTGGTGTTGCGAGCCAGCGGTCACCGGGTGCTGCTGGTGATGGCTTTGCGTTTGATGGTGGTGCAACTGCGGTGGTGGTGCTTGATGGTGCAGCTGATGGGGATGCTGCAGATGCTGCATGGGCGTCTGACCCAGAGCGCTCAACGATCCGTATGCCTGCAGCCCGTGATGGGGTGGCATCGTGGCGTGCAGATTTCCTCCCTTGAGGTCACTTTCCATCGTCAACATTTCTTCCGTCGGCGCGAACAGCTTGCTGGCTTTCACGAGGGTAACGCACTTGGGAAAAATTGTCACGCAGTGTAATTACTATCTAAACACAAAATAAAACACACAACCGACACTTTACAATATTTATAGTAATAAATAATAATAGTACAGTTCGCGCTCGTCGTCTCGCACACCGTCGTGAATGTGTATGTCTATTCAGAACATCGATATACGTGTGTCTGTATCTGTGGGTCCGCACTTGCCGGCGTAACTCAATGTTATGACGCTCAACAAACGTTCGGATTCTATTCTTCCGGAGACCGGGCGACCCCCACCATCCGCACCCCGTGATTGACAGCAACGCCTGCCATCTTAGCGAACGACCAATCGGATCGCTCCGTTTCGGTCGTCGGGGCGTGGTTTCGGCTCCTGTCTACCCCCCACCCCCTCGGTCGTGGCGCTGTCGGCGCGCGCGGTCGATCTCCGCACTAATTACACCCGCCGACGATTACTAATTATACCTCGCGGGGATTTTTACCAACACAACATACGAAGCAATAATTAATTAATATAAGCGCATCATTTCGTGCTTAAAAATTTTCTAATTAATTCGACCAACCAGCGCAGCCAGAAAGAAAGATTCCTGAAAAGGAAACACTTCTTCCTCCTTTTTTTTTTATTCTCTCTATATATATTTTATACTCCTTCTTTTTCCGCGCTTCTCAATTAATTAATTATTTTCACCACTAATTACTCAAATCAATAACGCAATTTAATACACTTCACCACTAATTATACACTAAACAATCTTACTTTACTTAAATCGCTACTAGTAATGATACACAATTAAAAAAAAATGATTATAATATTATAATTATTAGTGCTTTAATTTTTGTGTAATTATTACTATTTTTTTCATACTAAATTAATAAATTGCATTTAACAAAGTTAATCCAAAGTATGAAATAACTTATATAAATTTTTCATAATTTCAAACATAATTATATAAAATATTTTCTTAATTTTTCAATTACCATTTTTTTTAAAAACAAATAAAATCGGCAACTTTGTAAATAATCCCTATACTAATTAAATTCATTTTAGTTATAAAATTCTATAAAATTTAATAAAATGATTGAAATTATAAATAAATAATTAAATAGTTGATGTATATTTAAATAATCATTAGAGAAATATTCAAACACAATTGACTTTCAATTGTTCTATCAATTCTTATGATTTTTTTTTTACCATCAGCTTATGTTTATCATTATTATTGAACTTGCTGCGATCAATAATGATGATATAATAGGTTTATGTTTGTTTTTATTTCAAATAGCGAAAATTTTTCTACCTCTTATCATAATTACTCATATTTACTTAGTCACCAGTACCCAGCAAATTTGCTGCCTTTTAAAATTATTTATCTTCTACCAAATCTTATCAACAACAATATATAATGACTGTAATCTTCAATTCGGTAAACTATGTTTGGCTTTCCATGTTATTGGTCATTATATTGTGTACTTTTTCTGCCTTTTATCTATTTGTGTAAATACAACAGCATAATTACATATTATCTTAATATTTTGCTGCCTTCTTAATATTATCTTCTTAATATTTTGCTGCCTTCTTCATTATATCATTTGTTTATGCTGAGTTTTCTGATAACAAAATCCCTATAACAAAATCAATATTGTATGTTTACTTCTTAAGTCATTTCCATTAATTTACATTTATATTACTCCTATACAGCATTTTTTTTGTTAAATTCCCTAGAACTAGTATTTTCTTGTGTTTTGTTTTTTTTCTTAATTCCTTAAATAGAAAAGAATTAAAGAACGCCAATTAACAGAAATTGGTTAATAATAAGCACACGCACGATTGAACAGTAAATAAATAGTGGGACTTTTTTTTATTGTTGTTGTTGTTGTTGCTTATTGCCGCTCGATTGTTGAATAATAATCGACGATACAAAAGAACCTGCCTTCAGCGCTCTTATTGAATACACGTGCTTTACTCCATTGATACACATAACAACAAGTCCATTGGATTAGAGCTTAAATATTTGTGCCTATCGAATATCGCACAACACAACATCTTTTCATTATTCATTATTCTTTTATATAACGCTTAATTCTATACTATAACACTGTGTAAGAAAACATTTAATATCAATAATAATAACATTAATATTAGTTGCAATTACAGCATAATAAACATATACAATTATTGTTCATATTGAAAAAGTTGTAAATAAAATAATTTCACATTTTTTTTTAGGATAATTTTCCTTCAAAATTTGACTAAGTTTTACGAATCTCATTCAACAGATAATTAGACAGATAGAAATAACAACGGACAAGAAAAAATCAAATTTTAAATCAAATTTGTAGGATAATTTGATAATATTTTATCAAATTATCCATTGTATTTGTTTTATTTATTAATTAAGCAATAACTAATTATAATTAAGTTACTTACATGTTGTTGCTTGTGGGGAGTTTCTGAACACATTATAGAGAGAGACATTGGATATGCAACAAATAACTTATCTGAATGAATGTTTTGACCGGACTTTTGTACTTAAGTGGTAGACCGATTAAGACAATCGTTTAGTTGTTTCGATCACGCCCATTACATATACATTTGTCACGCCCCATTTTCCAATGAATGTACAATTATATAACAACAAATTGATTGAATCTGTTATTTAAATCGTGTTATATGAGACTAAAATATTGCAAATAGATATTTTTATTGTTGAAAATTGCAAAAAAAATAATAATTAGTTAAGTACATGTATGTGTTCTATATTTAATCAAATCGTCTCATTTTTATGAACATATTTTTGAAGGAATTTGTTACAGTAATAAAAATTATATGCAAATTCCTAAATTATAACAAATTGATTGAATCTAATTCGTGTTATATAAATCATGTTAGATGAGACTAAAATTAATAAAATATTGCTATTTTCTTATAGAAAATATGAAAGAAATCAGCAAATAAACATTTTTACGGTTGAAAATTGCAAAAAAAATAAATAAGTAGTTAAGTACATGTATGTGTTCTATAATTTAATCAAATCATATCATTTTTTGAATGAATTTGTTACAGTAATAAAAATTGTATGCAAATTCCTTAATTATAACAAATTGATTGTATCTATTACGTGTTACATAAATCGTGTTACATGAGACTAATATTAATAAAATGTTGCTCTTTTCTTATAGAAAATATGAAAGAAATCAGCAAATAAACTTTTTTACGGTTAAAAATTGCAAAAAAAATAAATAAGTATTGAAGTACATGTATGTGTTCTATAATTTAATGAAATCGTCTCATTTTTGTGAACATATTTTTGAATGAATTTGTTACAGTAATAAAAATTGTATGCAAATTCCTTAATTATAACAAATTGATTGAATCTATTACGTGTTATATGAGACTAATATTAATAAAATGTTACTCTTTTCTTATAGAAAATATGAAAAAAGTTAGCAAATATATACTTTTACGGTTGAAAATTGCACAAAAATAAATAAGTAAATTTATGTGTTCTATTATTTAATCAAATCGTCTTATACTTTTAAATGAATTATGATATAGAAATAAAAATTGTACAAAAATTTCTAAATTATATCAAATTGATGTATTTTTGTTCAATTATGTAAAAATGTAAATTTAAAAATCATCTAAATTATGAAAATTTTCAATAAATGTGAAATTTTTTTGTAATGATAATTGTAATTGAGTTTGAAAGTCAATAAATTATGCTTATTGCAATTGAAAATCTTTGTAAAAAATTTCCTAAAATCAAATTTTGGATTTATTAGAAAATAATTAATTTCTTTTTTTGTCTCTATTTGACTTTAGCAAATTCGCGCAATATTATATAAGTACTTAGATGAGTTCTACGAAGATAACTGTACTTTTTGTTACTTTATTTCACAGAAAATTTACAGGCAAAAAAAAATTGTCAATATTTAGGAATTTTTCAATTACACTTTTCTGCCATTAGCATTATCAAGTGCGTTAAGAGTAGAAAGAAAACGATGAAAATGCTAGCAAATGAAACGATACGTGGCATTGCGAGATACGGAGAGTGGCTTTAATGTGTTTTTATTTACATTATGGTCGTGATAATATTTAGGTTCCGATCCGCTGCCCAAAGTTAAATGCATATTTATCGTTCGTTTTTGGGGTGGTTTTAGCGGAGAAGAAAAGGGGTCGTCTCCAGCCAATTACATTTCCATCGTGATGATGATGATGGTAAATATTATTATTTATACATGTGTTACGAAGAGGAGGGCTCGATTTGCGTGAGCGAAAAAAAAAGGGTAAATTTTGTTGGGTAATCCGTAATGGAGTGGACCAGGTACGCAAAATTGAAAGGAAGAAAATTAGTGAATTATTTGCAGGTGGCTTTCTGCGTCTTCCACTTAAACGGATCCGTTTTATCGAGCACCTGTGATGCGACAATGGGGACGACTTTCGATTGTTCGCGAAATCGATTTCAGACGATTTTTCATATGATATTATTGGGCACCCCATTCTAATTGATTAATGGGGCTCTGCTTTTCTCCCCTCACGAAGCTCCGAGCTGAGATTCTTGTGTGTGTTTACATGTATTTTCGCTTCTTTAGAACGAATGAATACAAAAGAAAAAAAAAAACAGTTTCCGTTTCTCGTGTAATTAGTTGGATTATTTATTAATAATTACTTTGTACTTGAGGGTGGTTTGGCGCGTGAGTGTGTGTACGTGTATTTTTTTTTGCTCTCGTCCCTCTCGCAGATCCTAGATACAACATACACGAGTGCATATTAAACATTCTTTCACGTCGTTCATTGAAAATGTATTAAAACCAAACAGCCGTACGCGGATGCCGAGGGACGCAATCTACATGGAGCGGCGGCGGCGGCAGATTCTGCACGCGCGCAGATGGCGATGGGGATTCCCCGCCCCGCGCGCGCGAACTTCATGCATCTTTGATGGCCGACCCAACAATGAGACTTGTATGCACAATTTGCCGTGTTGACATAGTTTTAAACTCGGAGCGTTTGAACCCCGAGCTCTCCTGATTACAAACCGGGCGAATTTCCCCGCAAGGATAATGGGGAAAAGCTCCACAGCGCGCACACACAAAAAAAAAAGAAACACAAACATCCATATTCATATGTACACAGTCGGCCCTCACTTAACGACTGTTCGATGATACGTACACAACTATTTATATCCGTACAATATTCATATTTTTTTAGTAAAACTAATTGTTAGAACAAATAATTAAC